GATTTTATTTATTTATTTGACAGAGAGAGACACAGCGAGAGAGGGAACACAAGCAGGGGGAGTGGGAGAGGGAGAAGCAGGCTTCCTGTGGAGCAGGGAGCCCGATGCGGGGCTCGATCCCAGGACCCTGAGATCATGACCTGAGCCGAAGGCAGACGCTCAACGACTGAGCCACCCAGGCACCCCTCATTGTAGCACTATTTTTTTAAGATTTATTTATTTACTTATTTGAGAGAGAACACTTGAGGGGGGAGGGTCAGAAGGAAAAGCAGACTCCCTGCTGAGCAGGGACCCCAATGCGGGACTAGACCCAGGATTCCAAGATCATGACCTGAGCCAAAGGCAGACGCTTAACTGACTGAGCCACAAGGCGCCCTATAACACTATTTTTAACAGCAAAAGATGGGAAACAACCCACATGTCCAGTAATTGCAGACTAGTTCAATACACTATGGTACATTCACACAGAAGAGGAGTATACCGCTGCAAAAAGGAATAAGGAATATTCCTAGACACTGCTAATGAGAGGTCTCCAGCACACTGTTAAGTGAAAAAAGCCAAAATGCAGAACAGTAGGTACAGGATGCTACTGTTCATTGAAATTTACTCAGATTTTAAATAAATGGTTACCAATAGGGAGAGGAAGGTAACAGGTTGGTGGGGACAGGGAGAGAAGCCAGAGTTCTCTGAATGTACTTTGTTTTGTAGACTTGACTTTGGAACCATATAAATGTTTTACATAATCATAAAACAAAATTACATGAAAACCTGAAAAATTTGGGGCACCTGGCTGGCTCAATCAGTGGATCATGCAATCTCAGAGTTGTGGGTTCGAGCTCCACATTGGGTGTAGAGATTGCTTAAAAATAAAATCTTAAAAAAGAAAAAAAAGGGACGCCTGGGTGGCTCAGTCGGTGAAGCGGCTGCCTTCGGCCCAGGTCATGATCCCGGGGTCCTGGGATTGAGTCCCCCATCGGGCTCCTCGCTCAGCGGGGAGCCTGCTTCTCCCTTTCTGTCCCTCTGCTTGTGCTCTCTCTGTCAAATAAAATCTTTAAAAAAAAAAAAGAAAAACCTGAAAAACTTAACCCTAAAGAGCAAAAGCAAAATGAAACAAATGAACCAGTATATATTGTTAGAGTCTTAACCCCACAGAAACAAATTATTTTAATTTACTTTAAAGCAGAGGAATACCCTAAATGACATATATCCTGACACAACAGAAAGAACTACAAAAGAATGTTAGACTGTTTTCGATAATCATACTGTTAGTAATAAATGGCACTGTTATTCTGACACAATTATATATAAATAATAAAGTTAATAATTGTGTTAAGATAATCAGGATCCAAGATTTTTATTTTTATTAAACATTTTTATTTAAATTAAATTAATTAACATATAATGTTTTATTGGTTTCAGAGGTACAGGCCTATGATTCATCAGTCTTACACAATACCCAGTGCTCATTACAACACATGCCCTCCTTAATGTCCATCACCCAGTTACCCCATCCCTCCACCCTCTTCCCTTCCAGCAACTCTCAGTTTGTTTCCTATGATTAAGAGTCTCTTATGGTTTGTCTCCTTCTCTGGTTTCGTCAGGATCCAAGATGTTTAATACAAGAGAAAAAGAGGTACGAATATAAAGAAGTTAATAACCACCTAGCCCTAAATTCGAATTTGAAGTATCAGTGTGAACTCCTGAGATATTTTTACATTAAAAAATTTTTTCCTAGCTTTTGTCCTCTGAAGACAGGCGTGATAACCAACCTGGTGGCAACGAGCACTCCTAGAGTCCCAGTTGTGTGCTCCAAATGCCATTTCCCACTGGGATGGACTAGGGTTTCTTGAAAAAAATATGTGATTCTAGGGATCCAGGTATTATGGGAGATGAGTTTGGAATAGCTTGTCTTATCTGAAATCAAGTAAGTGATCAATGATCACAGGGCTTGCACCAAAAAGACTCAGGGTGAACTTAAAGAGGCTTCCACTGGCCAAAGATGGAATGATTATTAATTTTAAAAACTGTAATGGATTAAAATCCATCAAATATGTTAAAGTCTTTGAGTTCAAATGATAATAGAAAGAAAGAAACATACCTAACTGGTCACCTCTGAAGAATGACATTAAACCAGAAGACAGAATTCCTTACCTTACTCAGTCCTCATCAGGATAATTGTACTCTTAATCCCCTTCACCTATTTCACCAACACCCCCCCACCCACCCACCAGTTTGTTCTCTGTAGTCAAGTCAGCCTTTTGATTTGGCTTTTCTTTTTTTTGTTTTGTTTCTTAAATTTCACATGACTGAAATCACATGGTATTTGTCCTTCTCTGATTGACCTATCCCACTCAGCGTTATACTGTCCAAATCCATCCATGTTGTTGCAAATGGCAAGATTTCATTCCAAGATATTCCAAGCTTGTCTCCCATTATTCTGAAAGCTCATAAATAAAGGCAATAATTAAGCATTTAACTTGCCTGTCCTGTATGGATGCCAAACAAATGATAGGGGAAAGTTTGTCTTTCTGGAACTGTTCCCACAAAGGCAGAAGGGATACCAATACCAGAATGTCACCATCTTGCAAACTCCTAATGAAACACAGCTAGGCGGTGACTGTTACTGGAAATACATAATGTTCACTTATGAAGTATTCTTGTGTGCCAATGCAAAATCTAATTACTCTCCACCTCTAAATTTACAGGAACTTCTAGTGACAAAAAGACACCCCAAGAATGCAAATGCCAAAATCCCAAATATGAGAAATTCCACAGGATGCATGACCAGACTTCGATAAATTTCAAAGAGGTGAAAAAAAAAAAAGTGGGAGGAAACTATAGATTAGGATATTTAACCCTTATGCTCATTGCAGCACTATTTACAATAGCCAAAATATGGAAGCTGCCCAAGTGTCCACCTACTGATGAATTAAGAAGATGCAGTGTATATAATATATACAATGGAATACTACTCAACCATAAAAAAGAATGAAATCTTGCCATTTGCAACAACATGGATGGATTTGGACAGTATAACGCTGAGTGGGATAGGTCAATCAGAGAAGGACAAATACCATGTGATCTCACTCCCATGAAATTTAAGAAACAAAACAAAGGGAAAAAAAAAAAGAAAAGCCAAATCAAAAGGCTGACTTGACTACAGAGAACAAACTGGTGGGTGGGAGGTTGGTGAAATAGGTGAAGGGGATTAAGAGTACAATTTTCTTTTTTTTTTTTTTAAGATTTTATTAATTTGACAGAGAAAGAGACAGCGAGAGAGGGAACACAAGCAGGGGGAGTGGGAGAGGGAGAAGCAGGCTTCCCACCGAGCAGGGAGCCCGATACAGGGCTCAATCCCAGGACCCCGGGATCATGACCTGAGCCGAAGGCAGACGCTTAACAGACTGAGCCACCCAGGCGCCCCAAGAGTACAATTTTCTTGATGAGGATTGAGTAAGGTAAGGAATTACTGACTCACTCTACTGTACACCTGAAACTAATATAACATTGCATGCTAACTACACTGGATTTAAAATTTTTAAATAAGATTCTAGTTTAAAAAAAGATAAAATGTAAGTCTGTATACCAAATGCATTGTGCATTCCTAGTTTTGATGGGGTTTTTGGAATATAGGTGAAGTCCAGAGCCCATGGCCAAGAAAGAATACTCGAGACCTCTCTGGTGCAAAAAGGTGGTTTTATTAAAGCACGGGGACAGGACCTGTGGGCAGAAAAAGCTGCCCCGAGTTTGTGTGGTGTGGCTCATTACATACTTTGGAATTGGGGGAGGTATGGAAAAGGGAGGTTTCGAAAGGATTTTTGTATGTTAAAGAAGACTCACAGGATACCACAGCCTTGCCATTGTCAAGCTAAATTTGTTTTTCCTTCTAGTAAGGCATTAACAGTAAGATAGTTGGGAGCTTCCCAGAGGAACATTACACTTTGCCCACCTCAAGTATCTGTCGATGGGCTGCAGATTATAAGGACAATTAATTGTATCTACATTTCCTTCTGGAAGCCAGGTTATTGATAGAAATGCTTTGTTCTTGTAGATTGCTAAGACATTTATAAACGGAGGGAGACTCGTGTCTCGCAGGATTGTAATCTCTATAAATGATTTGTTTTTCCTTTAGGGCAGCCAGGCGTGCCTGAGGAATGTCACATGTATCTCACGGGGCGGGGGCGTTGTGGGGTGTCAGCTGCTGCTTTGTCCTCAGTTTGCCTTCTGCTCCCTCATCAGTTTGAATCATGATTCGCACAAACCGATTAAAAATAAAAACAGTATGAGACAGACGGAAGACTCTCAACACTGGCTATTTGATGATAATAAAGGATAATGGTTAACATTTAGGTGTGATAATGGCTTTGTAATTACCCTTTTAAGGGCCCTTATGGGATTGGGGAAGTAACTAGATAGGGAAATAGGTGAAGAGACTCGCTATGGGTAACTGTTCTAGGTGTTTGATGGACACGTGTTAAACTACTCTCTCTACCTTTGTATAGCGTTGAAAGTTTCCATCATAAGAAGCTAAAATGAAAAAGTAAAGAGCGAGAGGGGCGGCCCCCCCAGCCCGCTTCATTTTTCTTCCCATCCCAGCACGCTCGCTGCCTGAGGTCACTGGAACTCCCGATCCAGGGGTTCGCGTTTCAGGAGAGGCGAGATGGCCAACTCTTCCTCCCGACCGTTCCCTCGGGCATTCTAGTCCTGGCTGCCTGAGCCTCCTCTCCCGGGGCTGCTCCGGCTGAACCGCTCACCGCCCTCCCGGGCGCAGGCCTCAACACCCCCCACAAAGTCCGTGAACACCAGTGCTGGTGGTCGAGGAGGCACTGTCACCGCCCGGCCCTTGCCCGGTCCCGGGACACAGCAACAAGAAGTGACGTTCGGGGCGGGGGGGGAGGGGGTGTTACACCCGGCTTGAAGCGGTAGAGGGAACGGTGAGACTGAATTGGGAGACCCAGGGCAACGTCGACGCAGTCCCGGCGCTGGGGAGCAGCACTACAAACTTCCGCAGGACTGCCGGAAGTGCAGTTCGTGCAAGGCCGGAGCGCGGTGTGGCCTCTCTAGGCGCACCGGAGGTCTCGTCTCTCGGTGGCTCTGGAGCGCGCCGCAGAGCTGTCAGTCAGGAAAATGGCGCAGGCGGGGAAGGCGGGCCCGACGGCCGCACTGGGGGATGTCGCACGCTAGGACTGGTGGCCCGGGATGTGGGCGGGGACTGAGGAGGCGGGGCCCCCCGGGATTGGCGGATGCGCCGTCGAGGCGGGGCGCCCCCTTTGTCTGGGTGCGTTGCGGGCGTCAGTCTCTTCGCGCGTGAGCCTGCGGCGTGGAAGGTGAGTCGGAGGTGCGTGTGGGCACTGGCAGGCCGGGACCCCCTGTCCGCACGGGAGCCGGAGCTGGGTCGTTCTCACGGACAGGGCACTTCCCCGCGGGCACGCTCTGCTCCCGCCCCTGGCGCCGGTTCCCTCCTGCGGACGTGCAGTGGCGTTCTCTCTCCGCGGACCCCTCTCTCAGCCCCCAGCCCCCCGCCTTCCGCCACACCCCAGTCCCCTGGCTGCTCCTCGCTCCCGGGCCTCTCCCGACCCCCACCCCTCGGCCCCTGCCACGCCCTGGGCCCCCCCCTTACCCTTGACACACCCCAGGCCCCCCGCGACCGGGACCCCGGGCCCTCACCCCACCGCGCCTGCCACGCCCCGATTCCCTCCCCCCCGGCCGCGGGACACTTCAGACCCCCCACACTCCCAGCCTCCCGGCCCCTCCCGCGCGGACTGCGAGCCCTGGCCGGAGTTGCGGGGATGCCGCGGGGCCTCGGCCGAGAGGATCCGGCGCGACTGCGCCGGGGAGGGCGCTCAGCGACCCGCGTGCCCCGGGCTCGCTCTCGAGGGCTCCCCAGAATACAGAACCGGAGGCTGAGAAGCCCCCGGGCCCCGCGGCGGCCGCAACGCCCCCGCAGTTGGCAGTCGGCCGTCTCCGCGTCCGAGCGGCGTTGGTGTCTCTCTGGCCAAGAGTACTTCCTAATTTTACGTTCTTCCTCCCTGTTCCTGTTCGTGCCGTCTTTTCCCTATTACTTTGTAAGAGCCCTTTTTTAATGAATGAGACCAGTCTTTTCTGATAGGCAGATATTTCCCTAGTTTCTTGTTTTTTCACATTTCAATAGAAAGTAATGTTTTTTCTTAAAATGTAAACATGTGAGAGAAATATAAAGAGTGAGAGTCGTCGTCGGGAGCAGCCTGCCAGCGTGCGCAGAGGAGGCACTGGCTGACTGGCTTTGTACCCTTTCCAGATTTTGCGTGCGCTTTTTTCCGCTTCCAGCCTGAAAGGGAGGCTCGGCGGCAGAGGGGTGGCCGTGCTCTACCGGCCGATCCTTGTAGACTTTTCACCTAAAAACGGTCTTCGTGGCCGTGCGTCGTCTCCGTAGGGTGGGCCCGGAGTGGAGTGAGGGGAGGCTGGGGCCTTAAGATCGCCCTCCCCGCATTGTTGTCACATGAATGTTTCAATTTCCGTTCCCCGGTGATTGGTGAGGTTGAAACTCTTCGTGTGCCTTTGTGCTCCCCCCTCTTTTTTGCCTTTGTATTTCCTTTGTGATCCGCCAGTTCATACTCTTCTCCGTGTATGTTGAAAATGCTCTTCACAGACTGACATTTGAGTCCAGTTACGGTGTTTTGTTCTGGTTTGGGGTTTTTTGAAGAGATTTCAAGTTTTTAATGGTAAAATATTTACTCCTAAGGCTTTTGAGCTTTGTTATGTTTTAAAGGGCTTTGCCCTTGCCAAGATTATTTTTAAAGTAAACCCTTGTTTTTCTCTGGTACTTGTGCATTGTGGAAATCATCTGGAATTTATTTTGGTGTGGGGTGAGGGGACTCCAGCTTCATTTTTTTCACTATGCTGTTTCTAACACCACCTATTGAATAATTCATCTTTCCATTGATTTGGAAAGCCACCTTTGTCATGCATTAAATTCTTACATGATTTTGGGTCCATTCTGGAATTTGATGGCTTTGATGTGCATAGGGTCTTCATTTTCATGCAGCAGATCTGGAAGTCTCTGCCCCCATATTTCTGCTTTTGGTATTTTGCTTTGAAAGGACCTTCCCACCTGAAATAATAAAAACTTACCTATTTGCATCAAGTTCTTTTTATAAAATGTACTTTAAAATTTCAACTCATTCATTCATTAGCCTAGTGGATTCATTAGACTTGTAGTATTTGATATGAGATGATCTAATTTTTTTCTGGCCTTTTTTTTTTTTTTTTTTTTAATCTTTTTGCTCTACTTTCTGGGAGATGTGTTGAACTTTATGTACAGGCCTAATTTTACTTTTCCTAAAGCATTTAACTGGTCCTAGCCCCATTTACTGATCATCTTTCCTCAGCAATTTGAATTGCGTCCTGTGTTCTCCATTTGTTTATACAGACTTGGCCCTGCTCTGCCCCATTCCTGTGTCACCCCTTTTCGTCCAGGCCCACTTGGCTCTAGGCACCTTGGTTTTGTGGATACAGTGAGAATTTACATCTCATTTCTAAACTTTGTTTTAAACTTGTTTCTTGTGTCATATATGAACAGAATCTTTTTCCCTGTGTATTTTCTGACTAGGTGTTGCTGGTGTATAGGAAAGCTATTGGTTTGGATGCGCGATCATTCACTATGGAAGATTGCAGGGTTGTTGGGGCGCCTGGGTGGCTCAGTCGTTAAGCGTCTGCCTTCGGCTCAGGTCATGATCCCAGGGTCCTGGGATCGAGCCCC